CATTATTAACACATATATTCTGAATGCACTAATTCAAACCATAGGTTATGAAAAATGAAATTACATCAATATTTGCAAGTAAACAACCAAGCTCAGAGAGCATCAAGGGCTTCATAATTACATCATATAAGTTATACATACAATGCATTTGTTCTTTAGCAGTATTGCCTTAAATAAATTACAGTGGCAATCAGTGCACCATTGGAAGACTTGAAAGAACAGGTTAAGGACAGATCATCAAGGAAAAAAATCTACATTTGTTGTTGCTAGGAGTCAAAAATTACTTAATGGCATATAATCAATCAATCAATCAATCAATCAAATATTGCCTTAAATAATTGCACAATACTATTTCTATGCTACAGGTTTAGTCAGCCGTAACTGAAATCTTAATTCAAACACTTCTTTATTAATCCTTTAGCACTGATTGGTTTTGGCAATCAATTGAAAAGGAAATTAAAATGGAGATTCCATGGCAAGTATTTATTTAGTGCCTTCCTTCTTTGAACACAGAAAAGGCAATAATATAGAATATTCTCTAGTACCACAAATGGTGTCCAATTCTAGAAAATAAAAGTGAGATTGGTACTGGAATAAATTTAAGGATTCACATCTCACACTTTCCTTAAACTGCCTATAAATTTTGCAACAATGAGATACTATCAAAAATCTGAGACTGTGTCTGAATTTGGGAACCTTAACCTTTTAATTTGGAAGAAAGCTTTCTCTAAGGAAATGTATAAGATAATAATTCTGCTTTTATCGTGTTTTATGGAGCCATCGTTTTGTCTATTGTATTAACAGCTATTAATCCCATGACATGAATACTTCAGAGGCATAAATGTCTATCAACTGACATTTTACATTAAGGAAAATATAACCCTCAAGGAAGCAAACGATCAAGAATGAAAATGAGCGTTTCCAGATAAGCACAAATTCACACTATTCTGCTTACATCCCATTGGTTTATTTAAAAATACCCCAAACGTGACATTTTCAGCATAATATAAAAAAATCCTTTGTGGATCAATATAAGAGAAGGTCTAGAATATGAGGCAGCTTTTTTATTCTTTCATTCCTCCTCTAACTTTACTGCCAAGACCACAGGTGCATGCCATTAAGGGAGCAAGTTTATATTTTGTCCAGATGCAATACTATTTTTAGAATTGCACTGTTATTGCCTTCTCCCCTCTGATCACAGCTGGAAAGTAAAATCAGCTCACTGTGCAATAAAGCTGCTGAGATGTTGCAAGGTGTTTGTTGTTTCTGAGAAAAAGTCAGAATATCCTGAATAGAAGATCTGCTGTCATGTGGCAAACAGCTTTTTAGCAGCGTCAAAGGCATAAAAATGCACCCCTGTTCATCTCAGTTTTGTAATACAGACAAGGAGCAGAGCTGCATTATTAAAATTACACAGGAGAATCATTTGCTGGAGGCATTTTCATTGAGAATGTAAGTTGTATTATAGTTACATAGAGCAAAGCAACTTAATGGCAGTGATGAGTGTAATAGGATGATGAGAAAAAACAACCCTGTGAAGGTTCTTAGTTTTAAATCATCCTTCAAAAATTAACTGAGTCACTTGTCTACGTATCAGTTAGAAGGAAATTAACTAGAGAGACAGACAAAATACTGAATAAGACAGTGAAAAGATTGGCAAAAATTAAATAAGGATGTGCAGAGGAAGTTGAATGAATTATTTGCAACTGTCTTTTCAGGAAGAAAGAGAAACAAGGCAAATATTGACATGAAATGAAGAACTAGTAGGATCTAAAACCTAGATTTTACTGACAAACTGAAGACAACCTAGATTTTACTGACAAACTGAGGACAATCAGTTTGAAGACACTCACCAGGTCCACATAAGAGTCATCTATACATTCTTCAAAAATGTGAATGTAAAATTTTGAACTTTTCAATAAAACAGGCAATATACTCTTCTTTATATTGGAAAACTGGAAAGTGACCAGTGTTAATATCCATTTTTAAAAAGGAATGGAGAAGAGATCAAGAGAATTACAGGCTGAATAGCTTACGTGTCTGTTTTTAAATAATTGATGGGGAAAAAATTGCACCATAGGTGGACATTGGTTCAAAGTGGTCCAAGAAATTGGAACATTGGGAAGAAGACTAGTCCCAGCAACTGGTGCTAGGAGATTGTTGCTAAGGGGATGGAACATACAATAAAGAGCAGTTTTAAAAAGCAATTGGAGAAAAGGAGGAAGAAGAGGAAAATTGTATGCTCTGCAGATCCAGAAATGAGTCAACATCATTATCACCGTTCCAGTAAAAAAAAAAAGAGCAATGCAAGAAGCAGGTTAAAAATGCTATGGATGTGCAGGAGCTTTTGACCAAGCTAAGAGTTAAAAGAAAAGTGTAGAAAATTGAAGATGGATGAAATCATCAAGCAGAAATACTAGCAAGAGCCTCATACCTGGAAAATATTGATGATAATGTGATTATATGTGAGTAGATTATAACTCAATCAATGGTATAATATAGGATAGTGAACTATAGAAATAGAATTTATGTAAATATGAATGTTATGGATGATATGGAAATGCTGTAATGAGTGGAAATTTGTGTGTTGTGTTTTAAATGTTGAAAAATTTATATATATATATATATTAAAAGGGGGGCCTCATACCTGGAAAAAGAGAGTCAGAAAGGCAAACTTGCCAAAGGAACTTAGGTTAAAAGATCCAAAAAAGGGGTGCTTTTGGGTTAAAAAGGAATTTTAAAGCAAATTTTTAAAAATATAAATACTGCTCAGATAATATAGTGGGATATTTACAGGTGATGGGAGTATACACCTTGCTTCAGTCTTGCCCTGCAAGAGGAACAATGTTCCAGGACCTCAAGGAAGAAACAACAACAACAAAAAAAAGCAAATAGTAGTATATACGCAAAGAGACAGTAGACTGCCTCAAATATGCCCTCAGAACCAACTCATTTGCATCCAAGAGCCTTGAAAGACCTTGAAGGATGCCATCTCAGGTCCTGTTCTATGAACTCTGAAACTCACAAAAGATGGGGATAATTCCAGAGGATCAAAGAATGGGGAATATTGTCCCTATCTTCAAAAAAGGAGAAAAAAAAAAGGACTCGGACAGATGATCCGCTTTTACTTTTTTTACTTTTACTTTTACTTTTACTTTACTTTTACTTTTATAATATTTATATACCGCCCTTCTCCTGAAGGACTCAGGGCGGTGAACAGCCATGGTAAAAACAATATACAAGACAAAAAATTTAAAAACTTATTAAAATAATTCAATCACTGGCCAAATTTAAAACACCCAGCTAAAATCGTTATTTAAAACCCCTATCAAAACCCAATTAAAATCCTTTATCCCATCAGACCGGCTTGCTGGAATAATAGGGTCTTCAAAGCATGACGGAAGGCTTGATATTGATACAATAGATTATTAAGCACATGGTTTATGTAATGCAAGCATTACTTGGCAGGCACCAGCATGGAATTATCATTGTTCTTTGATCTTAAAAGATTCAACCAGATTGCCACCAGATTTTTATGAGGCAGAATGGCTCTGAGCGACAGTGATATGGATCTTGTGGGAGGAAAGAGTTCAGCATATTGCTGATTTTTCCATAAAAAAAGACAAGAAAGGCCACAGCTGCTAAAACTGAGAATATCAATAATGAATAAAGAAGAAATATAATTGTTAGGGAAAGCAGACAAAACCCAACCCTGATTCTTAGAAATAGGATTTTAATATATGAAATTTTACTGCTTTCTCTATGTGACTAGATCGTTCTCAGAGCTTTGTTTATTGGAACATGTGACTTTTAGGTATCACATGTTGTTTAACGATAAGATTATAAGCCATCCAGAAGGACAAGTCTGGCTAAAAAACACTTGGATATGTTAAAAAAGTTTTTTCCCAAGGCAGCCTTAGGAATAAGAGAAGCAATGATTGAAACTGGGTTTTTTTTAAAAAAATAAAATAAAATAAAACAAATAATTATTTCAGTTGATGAAAACAAACAAAAACCACAAAGAACTCAAAAAGGTTCTCCCCAAACTGGGACTAAATTGATTCATGTTCATATAAACAAGTATAAAGTGGTGCACATCAGAGGTGGGTTCTAAATTTTTTTACTACCGGTTCTGTGGGTGTGGCTTATTTTGTGCATGTGACTTGGGTGTGACTTGGGGTGTGACTGGGTGGGTGTGGCCAACTTTTTTTTTTTTACTTTTAAAAGCATTATTTCTACAACCTTTAAGAGGTTGCAGAAAAAAGTGCTTTTAGAAGCCTCTGACGATCAGGCAAGTCAAGTCATCTGGGATTGCCAGAGGCTTTTAAAGGGATTTTTTTTCCTACAACCTCCTCGGCTGGAGAGGTTGCAGGAAAACAGGCTTTTAGAAGCTTCTGATGATCAGGCAAATCTGCTGGGATCGCCAGAGGCTTTTAAAGGGATTTTTTTCCCTACAACCTCCTCAGGTGAAGAGGTTGCAGGAAAACATGCTTTTAGAAGCTTCTGACAATCAGACAAATCTGCTGGGATCGCCAGAGGTTTTTAAAGGGATTTTTTTCCCTACAACCTCCTCGGCTGAAGAGGTTGCAGAAAAAATGTTTTCAGAAGCCTCTGAAGATCCCAGCTGAGCCGCACGATCATCAGAGGCTTTTAAAAAAACTTTTAAAAGCATTTTTTCAGCCAAAGAGGTTGTAGAAAAAATGCTTTTAAAAGTTAAAAAAAAAAGCCTCTGATGACGTGGGCGGGGTAAGCAAGTGGCGACCGGGCTGGGGACCGGTTCGGGGGCATGGCTAGCCAATGTTATTACCGGTTCTCCAAACTACTAAAATTTTTTACTACCGGTTCTTGTGAACCGGCGCGAACCGAAAGCAACCCACCACTGGTGCGCATGAACTAAAGGAAACTCCACCTTTATATATATACTGGTGGAAAACCATCAAAAGCATGAATTGCAGAGAATGTAGAACCACATGCTCCTTTGTCTCTTGCTCACTACTTACTTTCCTTCTGATCCATAGCTGTTCATACTGTCCTCAATGGATTCGTGACTGGCTTGCCGGATAGTTCGACTTGGCATTTCAACAGCCAGTCCAGTTTCTGTACTCCGCTGGATAGCACCTTTGAGTTTGCGGCCATCTCCTTCTAAAGCAAAGAGGAAGAGAGAGAGGGGAAGGGAAAGCGAGGAGAGAGAGAGAGAGAGAAGATTAGGCATTTAGACATTGGATGAAAAGTATTCAGTAATGAAACACTACATACTAATAGCATGCCTAAAACTCTAACACTTAGAAATCTGGAATTTCAAGCTAGCATAGACATTATTTAACTTGAAGAAGATCTCTTTCAGAAATACAGGCGGTCCTCCACTTACGACCACAATTGAGCCCAACATTTCTGTTGCTAAAGCAAGACCAGTGGTGGGTTGCTCCCGGTTCGACGTCATCATGGGTGATCTGTGCATGTGCAGAAGCGTGCGCACTCCTGCTCCCGCTGTGAACTGGTAGTAAAGGTGAGTGGAACCCACCCCTGAGTGAGACATTTGTTAAGTGAGTTTTGCTCCATTTTAGGACTTTTTCGCCACAGTTGTTAAGCAAATCACTACAATTGTTCAGTTAGTAACACAGTTGTTAAGTGAATCTGATTTCCCCATTGACTTTGCTAGTCAGATGGCTGCAAAAGGTGATTACATGGCCCTGGGACATAAATATGAGTCAGTTGCCAAACATCTGAATTTTGATCACGTGACCATAGGCATGTTGCAATGATTGTAAGTGTGAAAAATGGTCAGAAGTCACTTTTATCAGTGCCATTGTAACTTTGAACAATCACTAAATGAACAGTTGTAAGTCAAGGACTGCCTGTATTACCATAACACATTTCAGATTTTGTAGATTAAATTAAAGGGAGAATCTTTCTGTCTTTATCCTCCAACAACAAAACTTTTGGGGTTGGTCTTGCCTCCAAATGCTGGTTCAGTTGAAATTACTACACCCACCTATTCTTTCACACTTTTTCTGGGTTCTATCTTGAGATTATATTAAAAGAATATTTGTGTATTATATTAAGAAAATCAGTTCTGTCTGAAAAATGTCATTTTCAGTGCAAATAGCAAAAACACTCATTTAAAATAATAAGACACTGCTGATCAAGTGCAATCAAGAAGAGATTGGGCTATTGTTCTGGATGCAACCAGAAAAGAATGTGCGGTAAGGCTTGAGTGTTTCCTCCTGAGAAAAGACCAGCTCTTGGCATGACAAACCATTAAATCAATGCTATACAGAGCTACCAGTTAATGCATTATTCATTTATTTAGTATGTGGCAATGATACATTATCCAGGATACTACTATGTTAATACAGAGTACAGTTATTTGGCTGCCTAAGATTCAGAGGTGGGTTTCAGCAGGTTCTGACCAGTTCTGGAGAACTGGTAGCGGAAATTTTGAGTAGTTCGGAGAACCGGTAGTAAAAAGTCTGACTGGCCCCGCCCCAATTTATTCTCTGCCTCCCAAGTCCCAGCTGATCGGGAGGAAACGGGGATTTTGCAGTAACCTTCTCCTGGATTGGGGAAGGAATGGAGATTTACAGTATCCTTCCCCTGGAGTGGGGTGGGAATGGAGATTTTACAGTACCCTTCCCTTGCATGCCCTCCAAGCCACGCCCACCAAGCCATGCCACATCCAAGCCATGCCCATAGAACCGGTAGTAAAAAATTTTGAAACCCACCACTGCTAAGATTGCTAGTCTGTATAATTCATGCTTGCGCAATATCCAGAAGAGTAAAATAAGGGGCAAACTAACAGCATTCTGCAGCATCATTCAGGGCTTTCTTCCTCCATTGAGGTTGCCTCACCTTCAGGTGGCACATTCGGGTAGGTCCAGCACCAGTTGGATGTGTACTACTGCATGAAGCGGCATTATTTTCCCACCAAAATGGTACCTATTTATCTACTTGCATGTAGCATGCTTTCGAACTGCTAGGTTGGCAGAAGCCAAGGCAAGTGACATTAGCTCACCCCATCCCCTGGTGCTAGGACTCGTATTACTGGAGCACAGACCTTCTCGAGTGTCTTTAAGCCACTGAGCCACCACACCTATAACTAGTTGATTCAACATCAGCTAGTTATAGGTGATGCAAGCTGAAAGCCCGTTTTTTGAAATCTTTCATACTAAGACTTAGATGACAATGAATAATTTAATTAATTTTTCACATTTGGAGCCAACAAAATTTAGAGGGCAAGTGAAAGTCGTACCCCTCTCCTGCCAATTCATAAATATCATGGAGAATTTTAAGATAAAGGATAGAAAACCAGCAGCTTTCCATTCGTTAAGAGTCCAATTTCCTTCAGTCTCATTCAGTAGACTCAGAGATGATAAGTTGTTGTCTACCTCTTGGATTTATCCACTTATTTTTATGAGCACCTGTTGCTTCTATTCCTGGGAAAATTTTAAAAATCTCTTCTCTTTATGAGTAATGAAAACTGTATGTAGCCAATAAGATGGGGGAGGTTATTATTTATGCAACAATTCCTTTTCAGCCACTCTATTTTATTTATTTTATTTCTGTCTTGCAATGTGGTTCGTATTTTAATATATTTTTTTCCTGTTTCTTAACTTCGTACTGTATTCAGATTAGGCTTTTGTGGGATGATTAACCATTTTACCAAAATTTGACCAGTTCAAGGAAAAAAAGTCTTACACAGTGCCACTGAGTGGTAGTTGGTAAAACAATTAATGTCTGACCCACTAACATATCAGTTAATTTCAGCTTCTGCAGAAGTCAAAGCCTGTCAATGTCTTTCTTCCTTACTGTATATCAATTTATCCACCATGAGAGTTCTTACAAGCAGTAATTACAGACGAAGCCGCCACTTATCTAAAACTAGAATCAGTAATGATTATTTATTCCAGTCTTCTGGGAACTTGTTTGCTGCTCCTTATCAGAGGGTCCTGTCACGCAGTGATTAAAAAAGATTAAGTGATGTGAAAACCTCATTCACTCTAAACCCATTAAATAGTCCTATGCCAAGGGAGCAGAGTATACTTTTGGGTGGCTAAGACCACCCTGAGAATTTTCAAAAGTGTACTAGGTTCAAAAAATGGGTAGGAACAGGGCAAAGAGAAGAACTGCTACCTTTGACCTGATCAAATTAATTAAATAGAATACTCTCAAGGCATGTAATATTTTCTCTCAATTCAGGAATCCAAATTAAAGCATCCCAGGCAGATGGCTCTCTAGCTAGTGAAAAGGAGGCTTCCCAACTATGAGTAACTGGTTCTGTTGTTGGACTTCTGCTTTTCTCTAACTTGTATCTGTTATTCCATATCCAGCACTTTGGGATAATGGAAAACAGATCTTTACTTTCTATGTGAAATCCTTTCCGGTAACTGAAGCATATTACACTATCCCCTCTCAACTATCTTTTCTCAATTTTATATCTGCCCAGATCCTTCAATCTTCTTCACCTTTCCTGAACCTATTCCAGTTTCTCAGAGTCCTTCAAATGTCATGTCGGGAACTGAACATAGTGCTTGAGGTGAGATCTGAGCAAAGCAGAATAGAGTGAAATGATTACATGTCATGATCTGGAAATAATACTTGGTGTATGATGCAAGCTAGGACTGCATTCCTTCCTTCCTTCCTTCCTTCCTTCCTTCCTTCCTTCCTTCCTTCCTTCCTTCCTTCCTTCCTTCCTTCCTTCCTTCCTTCCTTCCTTCCTTTCTTTCTTTCTTTCACCAATTCACATTGCTGGCTTAGATTCAATTGGCCACTGGCTACTATTCCAATATTTTTTTCACAACTCCTATTGTCTGATCCTACAATTCCTATTATCTGATTTTACACCTGGCATTTAAATTTTGATTCTAGGTGAAATTTTCTACATTACTCTGTTACCAATTTATTCTTATTTTCAGCCCATCCTTCCATATCATATCAAGGTCATTTAATTGTATTTCTGTCTTATAATATTAGTGATGCCACCCAATATTGTAACACCTGCAAATTTGATAAGCAGTTTCTCTTCCTATTGATCTGGGTCATTAATAAAAATGCTGAAGAGAACTGATCCTTGTGGCATACCACTTGATACCACTTCAATGTGATGAATAACTATTGATGAACGCAGCTTTTCAAGCAACCTAATTGTAATGCCATCCAGATCACATTTACTTCAGGCTGCAAATGCTAGTTATAAATATGGATACATGGCAAAAATGTAAGAAAATAGTGTTAAATTTACACTGTATCACAAAGTAAGAGGATTTTTTAAAAATAAAATGATGTATCATAGATATATGACACTGGTCAAGCTGTCAAAAATGGACAAAGAAATATCAAATCGGTGTTGGAAGTGTGAAAATGAAGAGGGGACCTTTTATCATGCATGGTAGACATGAAAAAGCAAAGGAATTTTGGGGGCTAATCCATATCCAAAAAATATTGCAGATTAACGTTATGATGAAATCAGAAATTTCTACTGGGTATTATGGACATTGAACTAGAAAATAAATACGGGAAATTAATACTGCATCTGGAAGAAGAATGAAATTGCCACAATAGAAGATTGGATTATAAAATTGATGAAGCTTAGAGAAATGCTTTGATAAAGACTTTTTAAAAAAAGGTTGGAAACCTTGTATGGACTTTTTGTTGAAAGAAGAAAAGGGAAGAGAAAGATTAAGTTAATAACTATCCAATAGAAAGAAGGACCGAAGTTATAATTCTATTTTTTGTTCTCTTTCTTCCCCTTATTTTCTCTTTTTCTTATTTACTTATTTACTTACTCATCTTAAAGTACAATTTTTATGCTTTTATTGTATTCAAAAATTGTAATAACCCTGCGCCCTGGTGGCGCAGCAGACTAAAGTACTGTTATTAACATCAGCTGCCTGCAATTACTGCAAGTTCAAATCTCACCAGGCTCAAGGTTGACTCAGCCTTCCATCCCTTCTAAGGTAGGTAAAATGAGGACCCGGATTGTGGGGACCATAAGCAGACTTTGCATAAATATACAAAAGTATGAAGGCTATTGCTTAACACATTGTAAGCCGCCCTGAGTCTCCAGAGAAGGGCGGCATATAAATCAAATTAAATAAAAAATAAAAAATAAAAAATAAAAAATAAATAAATAAATAAATAAATAA